ATAATATAATATAATATAATATAATATAATATAATATAATATAATATAATATAATATAATATAATATAAAACTATAATATAATATAATACATTTATACTTATATTGTAACAATATAATATACAAGTAATATATCGTTTACAGTGTATATACATAACATATACGCAATATACTAGCAATATATATGGTGAATATATGCAGACCTGATAATACGCAATAAGTATTATATAGGTTATATTGTATCTTCATGCATGACATATTGGTTTGGGTGATACAGGGGCATATCAAAAAGAAAGAATAGTAGGAGAGAGAAGAGAACGAAAGAGAGAATAAGACAAGAAACGTCGAGGAGGAAGCCCTCACCAGTAAGTCTTGGCCCGCTTTTATGGGGACGCTCGGGTCGGGGTGTACCGCCACGACAGAAGGCTGTAACAGAGGCAGGAGAAACAAAGTAGAAAGCAAACCGTAGCGTAAAATCCCCAAACCCTTTGTTGGAAAGCTGCTGCGTCGCTGTCCCCCTATTCCCCGAAAAAGAGACAGAAAAGTTAGCTTCGGGGAACACCCCGGCGAATGCATGCATGCATGCGGGCATGTATGCATGAACGCTAGCGTGGGGCTGACTGACCTTGAGGGTTTTGTTGCTAAGGGCGTGGATGTGGAAGAAGAATTGAAAGGGGAAACACCGATCGCGATGCTGTGTAAATTGAAGAGGGAAATGATCGTCTGCTATCCGCAGAACAAAGCGGCCCCTGAAAAGCAAGACAAACCCCAAAACCTAAAACATAACCCGTAGACAGTAAACACGAGGTAGCAAACACACGACCCCAAGCCCTACAAACTCCAAACCTTAAACCGGAAACACAGAACTACAAGCTCCCGAAAATTCTCGAGGGTTTATGACCAGGGTTTTGGGTTTAAACTCCAAGCTTCCAAAACTTTAAACCCTAAACCCTAGTCATATACCCATGACTCCAAGCCCCCAAAGCTCTAGGCCCCTAACCCTAAACCCTTGCTTGCCGTACGGGTCGAGGTGAGTTGCAATCCACTGGCGAGCATTCACAGGGTGATCGGATGCATGCAGGAAGTCGAATTCCCCCATGGCCACAGTTTGGGGCTGTTGCTGCAGCAGAACGGATACAGCAGCAAAGATTGATGCATGCAGCTAAGCAAGATCTGAATACACCGCAGTAGGAGACAGCACTAACACCCAGGGAGACAAAGAGACACTCCTCTGCGTGTCTCCTCCCCGACAATATATATATTTTATACATCACATAAAACGTACAAGCACAAAGTGTAAAATGCAGTGTGTTGTCTTAGCGTAATTACAGAGAGATAAATGAGCAATATTGGAGGTCATTCTTTCGTCTCCTCGTTTACAATACAACTGATATTGAGACTTAGCATTGAAGTGCTATTTCCTTCTGTCTTTCGTGTTTAGTTAGGCCTAAAATCCGTCCCCTGCTATTGGCATCTGCCCGCTAAGGTCTGCATCTGATAGGAGACCCAACTGTTACTCCCCGGCTGCTTATAACCACACATGTGTTACTCTTTTGACAATAAATAAACGCAAACAGCGGGTATATTTATTTAAGGACACAAATGGACTCACTTCGTTTGCCGTTACAATGTCCATCTCCACATGCGAGAGCAAGAAGTTGTAGCCCACCTCGGCCAAAACAAAACACGGCTGAGTCCACAAAGAAAAGAGTATATATACTCCCTTGTAAAAATACATGAGCACACCAAGCACATGAATGGAGACAAAAGGCCCAAGCGGAAAGGCAGATTGCGCAGAGGCACCTTAACCAGCAACGGAGATGGTGCGCAGGAGACAAAAGCCAGCAAAAGAAGTTGCATTTGTGGAGAGCGCAGAGCACACAGGTTCCTCTGCCTCACCTCTGTAACTTCGAACTCCATTGTCTTAAGGAAGCCCTCGTGCTGCTGCTGCAGCGGCTGTAGCGCCGCCACAACCTGCTGCTGCGTCGCTTCGTGTCCCCCTCTTCGGGCAGACACCAACGACGCTGCTGCTTGCACTGACTCTGACTTAAAGAACTCGGAAGGAGAAACAGGAGAAACTCCTAAGCCGCTACATTCGCCCATCTGCAAACGTCCCGCATATGTACACACGAGAACAAAGCGTAATTGCAGAAGAAAGCAAATATAGCTGTACGTACACCTGAAACTCATGTGCACGTACGCCTGACCGCCCAGCTGTACTATGCACCTCTATGAGAAGAGAGACGCACCTTCTCCAACTCGCTGTAGGGAATGGACTGAATAAACAAATCAAAGAGGAGACAACTGTCCCCGTCTCCCGACAGCACCAAGTGAAAGGCCGAGTTGTCGGCTGCAGATCACACATAGTCGAGCAAACCCCAAACCCTAAAGCCTGTAAAGCCTGTACAGCTGAAACAGCGGCACACTCGCGCAGCCAGACCTGCAGCAACGCCCCCTTGCTCATCCTCAGGAGTACCCCAAACTAAAACCTCAAAGCCAATGCCCTGGGGGTCAAACCCTAAACCCTTAACCCTAGAGAGCGCACATGAAGGCCGCAGTCTGTAGATGCGTTCGCGGTGGCCTCCTCCCACCGTCCAGTCATGCACTGCCTCGACGTCTTGAGCCGTTCCGTCTTGCAGCTGAAGAGCAGAAAACACAGGCGCCTATGGGTTAGGGTTTTCAATTCCCTGTCTAGGGTTCTGGGTTTGGTGTTTTCTGGGTTGGGGGTTCTGCGTACCGCCATAGTGAGGCTGCGCGTTTGGTCCTCGATGAAGATTCCCACCTTCAAGAGCATCTCCTCCCCTGCAACCCCAACAACAAAAACAGGCTGAGCGTTTAAAAACGGTTTAGGTTTAGGGTTTAGGATTGTGCGTTTAGGGCTTCTGGCTCGCCTTTTGTCTGAATTGCAATGCGGTGTTTCGACGCCATGCCGCTGTGGAGAAGCCCCTTTGTCCGAATGACGACGCGACCTTCGCTGTCTACAGGGCCCCCTGTAGTTTCACAGACACAACAAAACCCTATACCCTAAACCCGTTTCCCCAAACACTAGACCATAATAAACCTTCAACCCTCGATTCACTGTTTCCTATCGGGTGGCAAGAGCAACAACAACCCGACAGTTTCACCACCCACCCAGAGAGGCGCTGCCGCTAATGGTGTTGAGGTCGGTGGGGAGCGGCAAAGCCCCAAATGCAGAACACTCCTCCAAAGGGTTCGAAGAACCACCTTCCCCTCCCGCCACCGAGTGCACAGACAAATGCAGCGAGAAACGCAGGCAGCGCGACGCCTGCAAAGGCAGACAGATTACAAGGACAAATGGAATGAAGGCAACAAGAACAAAGAAGAGAAATGGAATAAAGAATGCAAAAGCAATGAAGCGGTGGTGTCATCGTCCTATGCATGCACCGCCGAAAGACGAAGACAGGGAGGCGATGGGATTCAATAGACTCCTGCTAGGATAGCTAGCAGGCTAGCCGGTGCGCTCTTCTGTTGGCTAGCTCTCGGCTAGCTAGCTACTAGTTAGCTATACGGTGGCTAACAGAAAGCTGGCTAGCGATGTGGCTGGCTTGAGAGAATAGGGCAAGTGGGACAGACGCCGACCTGTGCGTCAGATAGGAGTTTGTCTCGAAGAGCATTTTTATAAGGACCCTTGCTGCTGCTGCTGCTGCTGCTACTGCTGCTGCTGCTGTTGCTGTCGGTGCTAGTGTTTGTCTCTGTCTCCAAGCGGACGCGCAAGGTGTGTTTTCCGGCCCCCAGCAGCAGCTTGAGGGAGTTCTGTTGTCCCCTCTGCTCGCCTAGCCACAGTCCCTCCGCCACCTCAATGCCAACTCTGCATACAGCAGTCGCAGATCCAAGAGACAGCCGCCCGCTAACTGTCTCCCGATACATCCCGTATTTCTGTGTGCAGTTCCTTCTCCGTGGGCTGCTCTATATCTTCTCTACGTTACAGTGTTTGCCTTAGCACTTAATTATATGTGCATCTGTGCTCTATTTAAGCATGTCTTTTCCTTTACTGTCTCTTTACTTGCTTAGGAGGAGACACACCTAACGAAATCCATAACGAAATTCGACCCGACTTCAGCATACACCACAGATGGCGAGGCGAGCTGCAGTGGCACTGAGAGAAGCTCTCCCTGCACAAGAGACAGAAGAAATAAGAACGTTGACTCTCCATGATTTTCCACATCCTGTACATAGAATATAAAGGAGACACCTCCTCCCAGTCGGCTTTTTGCTGTCTCCTGCTTCTGCTGCCTCTGCTGCTGCTGCTAGTGTTGTTTCTGCTGCTACTACTGCTACTGCTTCTTCTGCCACTGCTGTTGCTGCTTCGAGGTGGAACGGGAAGGGCATAACACTCAGGCCATAGCACCATAACAGCAAATGGAGACAGACAGACAGTGGGCACCCTCACTGTCTCATCCAAAGCTGCAATGTCGACGTTGAACACAAAATCTTCGCTCTCGTAGGAAGCAGGAAGAGGAGATGGGACAGACAAATTCGGCAGATTGGGGCTGCAAGCAGAGGAGATTGTCCCCTCCGGCGACGGGAGAGCCGCATGCAGCGCGTCAACAGACATCAGCCCTGTAAACAAGACAGCAGCTGGATGTACAACAGCCCCTCAACCGTCAATCCTAAGCCCTAAAGCGTTGGGCCAACACTGCAGGCCCCAAATCCTCCCAAATCCTGGAGCACAAAACATATAAACCCTAAACCTACCAATAGTTGTTAGAAAAGGCTCCTTCCCCTCAAAGGCTATAAGATAAGCACCAGGCTGCAGAAGCGTGAAGAGATTGTTGTCCGTAGCCTCGGCTACAGCACCCGTTGACGGCAAGGGAGCAGACACCAATTCCTTGCTGTTGCTGCTGCCGGAGGAAGGGAAGACGCGTATCTTGAGCTGGGCCTCGGAGGCAAGGGCGGGCTCCGCAGCAACTCGGAATACAGTTGGCTTAGAGACAACTAAGCTCGTACGAGCAACCCCTCCTGCAGCAACAAGCTGCTTGTCTTTGTGCTCCTTCTGCTGCTCCTCCTCCTCGCCCTGTTCCCCGTGGAACGAAAAAACAGAAGTTGCGAACACTGGCACGTCAGGGTTTGCCAGCCAACCCCTGCATCCCCACATACCCACTCCGTACACCTAATACATGCATGCGCGCATACGTGCATATATGTATGTGTGCATCCATGCATGCATGCATGCATGCATGGATGCTTGCATGCAAGTATGTAGGCATGCGGTGGTGCCAAATCCGAAACAGCCCATCGCAGCTGCCAACGAACCTCATGTTCAATGACTTGGGAGGCAGCTCTACAGGCAACAAGTCCGGCACCTCCAGCAGCTCCGCCCGCACAGCATTTAACAGCGCCGAGTTGTTCTCTCCCAACTGCAAGCATGCAAACTCAATGCACGCAATAGACCATGTGCGCGCACTGAATATGCATGCGCGCACTGTATACGCACGCATGCATGCATGCAATGTATACTCATGCCTGCACTGCAGATATAGCATGCACTGTGTATTCATACGTGCATCACATGCACTAGGCAATAGACAAGGGGGCCCACCTCAGCATTGATAGTTGCGTGGGCACAAAGGCGCTCGGTCTCCGGTTGGGCCTGCAAAAAAGCTCAAACCCCAATCTTCCTCTCAATCATAAGCACGAAACCCCAAACCCTAAGCCCTCGTAAACCACTAGTTGGGAAAGTCTGTACCTGGTCGTATATTACAAATTTCAATACATAGTCGCCCCCAGGAAGGTCACGAGACAACAGCAAAATACGCCCCTCAGTGTACTCCGACATAGCGCTGCAGAGGCACCAGCAAGCATGCATGCAGCCAACCCCAACACAGCGTCAAGTGCATGTAGGGATGCCCACAGCGCATCAGGCATCAGCACGCCCGTAGCTGTGGGACCGGGAGTGCACGCCCTGTGCAGGTTTGCATGTAAATGCTTCTGTGGTTTTGAAATAGAAGGAAGTACGGAAACCCCAAAACTCACAAAGCTGCTCGCCGCAAACCCGCTTCCTCCTTGCGGTGCAACTCCAAGCGCAGCGGCAGCCATGCCGGTTGCAGCACTACTTCCACCCTCAAGCTGCAGGAAACAGCAGCAGCAGCAGCAGCAGCGGGTGAGATGGAGAGACGAGCTGACAGCTTGGTAGGAAGACACAGAGGAAGGCAAAAAGAGACAGAGGAGCAGACACAAGGGAAGCAGAAAGAACTCTTGTGGTCATTTCTTCTAACCTGCTGCTGGGCCCTGGGGCAGTGAAGGGAAACTCCGGGTGCAGGGACGGAGACAGCCAAATATCGTGCGGTCGAGACACCTCAACACCGTCCGATCCCAACTGCCTGCAGCCCCATATATATTGCACGCATGCGGCATACGTACACCCCACCCTCAGTTGTCTTTACCTCCCCTTGTCTACCAACCGTGGATACTCTGTTTCTGCCCCTTCTGTCTTCTTTCCTTATTTCTCTCTGTCTCCTGTCTTCCTTTCGCATTGGTGTCTGCCTTTTGCTGTCTTGTGTCTGTATTTCTGTCTCCTCCAGTGTTAGCTCACTTGGGCAAAAACATCGAGGCATCGAAGGTGGCGTTGAAGGCTGCGAGAGCAGCCTCTCGTAGCTGGTGAGGAGACAGTTGCTGCTGTCCCCTTGCTGCAGGAGCAACACAGCAGAGCAGGTGGACACCCCTGACTCTACTGTCATTTATACTCCCAGGTCCGATCTAAACCCTAACCCCAAACTGAGCAACACGCCGTAAGCTCCAAACCTTAAACCCTAGAGCCTAAACCTTAGACCCTAAACCCCCGACGAACCCCAAGGGCAGACAGGCACCAGAGACAGAGGAGCCGCTACGAAGTGGAACTGGGCGTGGGGACAGGAAGTGGACGATCCCCCCGGAGGAGTGAATGTAAATCGAATTACATAACGACCGGCGGCATCCGCTTCTGAAGAGCAAACACGTCAAATGCTCAGCATAAAGGGATACACTAAAAGGCACAAGACACGACACAACAGACGGTACAAGATAAGACACGAGAAACGGTGCACGTGGACGAGATGACACAAAGCAATGCATACAGCACAAGACAATACGAAAGGCACAGGCCAGGACAAGATACAAGGCAAGACACAAAAGAGATCACAAGCGATTGGCCCAATAGGAATCAGAAGTGGAGCCAGAAAAAAAGGCGAGGCAGAGGCCGAAAAGAAGTCGTCAACGCGAGAAGGGCTCGAAGATGCAACTGTAGCAAAGAGAAGGCTAATATGAAGGGTGGTTCTCTTTCCAGGAGAACAGCAGAGACAAACCCATAAAAAGATCTCCATAAGCTTCTGCTAATACTGTCGCTGGCTGTCCCTCCGGGTAGACAACAAGGTGGGGAGCGGATCCCAAGGGGACATTGACAGACAGCTTAAGAAGGGACCGGCGCGGCACAGAGAGAGTTAGAAGGTGATGGCCTGCAAATACCCATGCATGCACGCAGCAAACTCCGACGGCAACATATCCAATCCAGTAGACGCAGATGCAGCAGCAACAGATGAAGCAGGATATCCGATCCTGAAGCAGCTCATCAGATATGCTGCTGCATCAGATAAGCAAATCTGATGCCACAGCAGATGCAGCACAAACAGCTGCAGCAGCAACGGCGGGGGCAACAGCTGCAGACGCAAGAGCAGCAGCAGCAAGAGCAGCGTCTGGAGAGGGACCTGAAGAAGGCACTCCGTATTTGGTGTCGAGGACGAACTGCGCATCTTCAGTGACCCTGAAAAAGCAGGAAGAGGCAGCAGGAAGAAGACAAATGAGGTGCATTAAGTGGCGGCCACAGCAACGGATGAGGCGAGAGGCAAAAAAAGAGGCGACAACAGCGCCACCCAAAAGGGAGACAGATAATTGAAGATATATGCGTGATGTTTATGGATAAAGTGGAACGGAAAGATGTTGCGTAGGGCCCACAAATGGCATGCATGCATGCACGCAAGGGTAGCTCGAGCGCAGCTGCACTGAGGTGTCTGCGCAGCTGAGATCGATAGTGTGGAGCACCTACTGTAAGTGTTTAGGAATAAAAGGTCTCTCTTTGGAACAGATCCACTGATGTTTCTGTGCTGCTGCTGCTGCTGCTGCTACTACTTCCTTGTTGCTTTCTAGCCGCATATCTATGGCCAATGGGGCGCAGGTCTGCAGACATGCAGACAAACGAGACAAAGAGACACCTTGCTGCAGCAAGTAAGAAGTAAAATGCCGCAGGTTCCTACGAGCAACAGTGTGTGCTGCAGACCAATTAAAGGCAAAAGGGGGACAGCAAACAAACATTATCGCAGCTAAAACACGAACGGATCGCAAGGAAAGGAAACAGACAGGAAGAGTAGACAAACAAAACCAAAGACACACGGAGGCAGACATATAAGAACAAACAGACAAACAGACACTGTTAAGAAGACAGACACATAGAGATGCGCCAGAGATGAAATGGAACCCGAGGCAAGGCGGCAACAGAGGAGGAGACAGTACATAGCAGAAGAGGGAAGAGAAAGCAGACACTCCAAAGGAGAACAAAAGGATAGAAGCCACCACAAAACCGAAAATATGGGAAATAAAGGAGACAGCGCGGACCTTCTCGGAAGTCTGTGCAGCCACCGCCTGAGGGTTTAACGCCAACATCTCCACTTGGTAGCGCCCGCCCTCTAGCGGCCCCACAAAGTGCTGAGGAGACAGACAAAATAAAATAAACGAGCAAATATGCACTTTATGTATATATATCATGGGTATTATTCGGTTTTACGCCTAATTGTCCTTAAGGTCGAATTAGCAGCAGCTGCAGGTAGTTGTAGCAAACTGTAGGGGGCTGCTGCAGGCACAGCCAGCTAGTAGCGGGGAAGTGTAGCTAGCTGCAGTTGGACAAAACAGCAGCTACAAGTAGCTAGGTGTACCTGGTAATTCTGCGCAAACTCGAGGACATGCGAGGGCTGAGGAGATCCCTCCTTCTTAACGACTGCTATTAACTCGATAGCGGAGAAGTCCGCTAGCAGCCCGACCCGCAAGTATGTCTTGGAAGAGACAGAAAGAGACAGGAAACAGGAGGAGGTAACAGAAAAGAAAAGTGTTGGAAGGATGGGCTTGTGCAATTCAAAAGGCGACAGGGACAACACACACAACTGCCAAGGAAACAGGAGACATTTAAATGGGAGACAGAGGGGGAAAGGAGAGTTAAAAGAAGACCGAGCAACGCAAAGGATACAAACACATGGAGACAGTTGAATAAGAAACAATACGCAGGAGAGAACACCCGGTAGGCAAACAGGAAAAAGAAGAGACTCCTGTATGCACCCACCTCGTTACTCCCCGGTGAGACATGGAAACTACCGCCCCCAACCTGCAAGCCAACAAAAAATTGCGAAGAAAGCAAGAGAGACAGCACAATTAAAGGGAGACACCTTAAATAAACGGAGACAACAGACAAAGCAAAGGATACACCCAGGCGCACTCCATCATAACAAGCTTCACGCAGCCGCCTTTAATCTCTACGGGACAACAGTCTGTACTGATGCTGCTGCAACAGCAGCAGCATCACCAAGAGTAACAGCAACGACAGCTGAACCAGCAACCATAGCAGCAGCAAACATAAATCACCTTATGAAAGGAAGTGTCTGCATGAGGAGAGGGGACCTCGAGAAGAAAGGGCTTGAAATTGTCCCTTGCCTCCTCCTCTAGCTTTATATCTCCTGCACCCAGCAGCACACCACAACCCAAGAGACTTCTGTTGTGCATAAACCTGGCCTACGTATGCAAATATTAGTACACCAACAAATCAACCACACAGGCAGTGAATGTCTAAATCTGCAGATACACTTCAAGTTCCCCATATATCGCAAATGTGACCACCACCACACTTCAGTGTACATGCACCGCAAACACGCCCCATCTTCCTCCTATGTAAGCCCGATGGATACCCATCTGCTGAGATATTTCAACACTTAGATCCTTAGCGCACGGCACAACCAATCCTAAACCCTAAACCTTGCACCTAAACCCTAAACCCGTTTGCCCCTGACCTAGGTTGATGAAGGGGTCTGCTGTGAGTCGGAAAGAAGAAGGATTTAAGTCGCCAAGTAGGAGGGGCGGTAGGCTGTCTCCACTTCGAGAACATGATAAACCCTGAAGGCACGTGGCAGACACAGCAAATTGTGTCTTTCTGCTTTTTTTTTCGCCACACTCCATCGACTGCCCTATCTTCCACCACTACCACCCGCAACCGCAGCAGCAACAGCAGCGAAGGAAGCAGGTGAGGGGCAAGACGATGGCTAGGGTCTCTAGCCTTTAATGCCTTGCTAAGGTGCCTCCTTTTGGGGTGTTTCCGCATCGCAGTTAATAGAGCGCACCTCCTGCAGCAGGGCAGACGGATGCACGGATATACGTGCAAAGAAACCGTCGCAAGGCGGAATGCCCCCCAAGGGATAACTGGCGCGGAACGTTATGAAGTACTCCCCTGAAGGAGCAACAGCAGCAACAGTAGCAGCAGCACATATACAAATACAATACAAAGGCAAAATGAAATGACGCTGAGAGGGAAAATTCTGCAAAAGGAGGCTGGAGGAGACAGGCGCAGGAGACGGCATGAACTCCGTAAAAGGAGACAGGAGGACAGAAAAAGAGACAGCCTCACCTGGTGGGAGTTGGCAGTGCACTGCAGTGACGGGGCTATGAGGATAGGTCTTGGGACTGCAGACTTTATGTTGAGGATTTGATGCTTCAGAGACATGCAGATTAATCTCCAGTTTATCTTTTAAAGTAACCACGCGTAAGGTGCTGCAGCAGAGGGGGCAAAGAACAGATAAAAAGGAGACAGAATGAAGCAGAAAGAAATAATGCCGCTTCTGGTTGGGCCTACAGAGGCAGTAGACACACGCTAGAGGAGGAGGCACAGGGAGACACCCGCAGAAACAGTCGGACACATTCGGAGGAGACAGAGGGAAGAGGGGACACCTACGAAGAAGAAGGTAAAGGAGAGACACAGAGAATATGGAAACAGAGGAGACAAAGGGGAGAGGAAGGGATAGCAGAGTGATATACAGGCAGATGAGGGGACACCAGCAAACGGTCACCAGAGGGAGGCATAGGAGACTGATACACGAAACAAGACCAGGAAAGGAAGACAAAAACGAAGCCAGTCTGTGGGGTGGGGGGGGTGGGGGGGCAAAAGAGAGTCAGCGAAAGCAGGTTTAGCCTCGGCCTGCCTCCCTGGCTCTATTGTCCCCGTGCAGATAAGCAACTTGTGTGAGGAAGGAGACACTTACCTTGGCTGTTGCAGCACAAGTTTGGTATTGTGCGTCATGGAGTCGAGTTCATCAGGGGGGAAGCCAAACCTGTAATCTCCACAAACACAAGGAAATAAAAACGAACTAAGACAGGGGACAGGAAACATTAAGTGGGAGACAACAGACTAGGTACAGGGGCCACTGTCATGGGGAACGAACGTGACCAACTGTCCCAAATGGAGTTGTCCCTTTTATTGTATATATAGGCAAGATGTATAGAGGCAAGACATAAGCAATAAGACAAAGCAGCAAAATTCTTCCTCGGGTGCATCCACAGCTCACCAGTCTTTAAGATCAATGGAATGCATCTTTACAACGCCCAGCTCATCGGATACAATTGTATCTGAGTTAAAAGGGGACATGAAGGGATACAAAGGAACCACACATAAATATAAAACCATATCGTTGCTGTCTCCTGCCCTTCCTTCCCCTCCAACTGTCTCCTCTACTTAAGCAGGCCTCACGACACCCCCACAAAGCAGCACCAGAGACACTCCAGCGCAACACCACCAAGAAAATGTTCGGCGCCAAAAACGCGCCAATACGACGGCAGCAACATCGGCAACAATAGATATGAGCATAGCAACAACCCCACCCCTCCACCTCACCTTCGGCATCTCGCTTAAGCTGTACGATCAGCCCAGGCAGCCGCGCGAAGGGACACATCCAAGAGTGCGTTGTAACCTCAAAGGGAGTCATCCGTGACTCAAACTGCAAATACAGCCCCAACGCAGGCATGCAGCAAATCAACTCAGTGTTTGTGTCTGCATGTACACAGACGGCAGGCAACCTCCCTTGGGAGCCTACTACCCCAGGGTCGGCCGCACACAAGCCCTGCGCCGGTTGGAACGGGGCCCCCACATTAAATCGCGGAGAAGTGGTGCGGCCACGTTGGAGGCCCCCACGCTTGTGGGAGGTCCCCCCACAACGTGTAGCGTGTGGGGCTGACCTTAAGGGAGTACTGGAAGTCGAATTGCATGCACTGAGTGCTCTTGTCTTCAAAGTACATTGGGTCTCCCACGAGAAGCCACAACTTGTAGATGTAGCCTGAGGGGAGAACGGGACAGAGAGACACAACATATAATGCGTCCCTTGGAGTTTACATGCAGGTGCCCACTGCAGCTACTACCGAAATATAATGCTACAAGGAACATACAGAGACGCCAAAGGAGACACCGTAGGAGGCAGACAGCAAGAAGCTAACACAACAGTGGAGACACAACAGCAGAGAACCCACCCGTAGGCATCGCATGGTCGAAGAGCTGCCCGTTGTACGTAGGAGTCCCGCCCAGACAACCTGCAGCAGCAGCAACAGCATCAACGGCAGCGCCAACCTAAGGAGGCGTAGGCATCTGCGTACACTGCCTGCAGTCACCATGGAGCGAAAGGTAGGGAGACTATTGCATGCACACACACAGGCATAGCCTGCTGCATATGTCTCCAATAGCAATTCCATTTTCTTCTGTTCCCCCCTAAGCCGCTGCAGGCAGCAGCCCCACTCACCAAGAGCACATGCAGGCTGAGTAGCAGCCCCATCTGGAGGAGTCTCCTCATCGAACAGTTCGAGCAGAAGTTGGAAGGGACCTGCATGAACGCATCCATGCAAAAATACAAACGACTGCAGCCCCCAAAACGCATGCTGTCCCAAATGTGGTGTATGGGCATTTCGGTGTATCCGTGTAGCTGTTGGGAGCTTCTATCTGCCTCTATCGCTTCTTCCATATGTACATCCCCTTACACACGCCGTTTATCTGCAACTTCTTTAATTTATCTATCAGCAGCCCATATTCAGAAGCCCCCAAAAGGGCCACTGCATGCAGGGGTGCTTTGTGCGAGACGACTAAGTCGGGTGTACAGACACCTGGAGAGCCATTGTTATTCAACTACAGCACAAATCAATGTGTTCAACATGGATATTCCCTGTTGGTTTAAAACATGTGTTGGTTATTCTTTTATTGCAATGTTTTATATTAAAATGGATGTCTCCCTCTGCTACCAACTCACCAGACACAAAGCGGAAGGAGACCCGCATGTAAATGCGCACAAAACGGTGAAGCCGAGGAGGGACCCGCACTGCTGTCTGTTGACGGAAACAGTCGGAGACAAGCAAAAGGCGAAGACAGATAGACACAAAAGGAGACAGACAAAGGAAGAGAAATGCATGTAGAGGGACATAAGAGACAGAGAGAGAGGGAGGAAGACAGTACAGCAAGGCGACTGACAAACACTGCGAATACAGCAAGTACACAGCCATGAAAGAAGTAGAAATACCAACAGAGAGACGGATAGCGAAGCAGGAAGCACAATTGCGAGGCAGCCTAAGGCACAACGAATAGGGAAAGCCGAGAAAAAGGAGGCAGACACTCCGGAGGCACACCTGGAAGACAGCCCGGGTGAATGGCTTCCACGGCTCCTCCCCCGCAAAGTTTAACACAAACGGATTCTCAACAGGGCTTGAAAATGACAGACCTTCGTCCCCCAACGTCTGCAACAGAAGCAGCAGCAGCAAAAGCAACAGCAGTAACAGCAACAGCAGCACAGCGAGCTCCGTAACTGACAATCGACCGACTAAGCTCGTTCGTACAACGCACAACAGCTCGCGTCTAGGGTTTTGGGCCGATGGTTTAGGGTTAAGGCCTGAGTGTGTGGTGGGGAGGCTGTACGCCGCGCGTGACGTACGAGCTCAGGGGGGGCGGTAGGCAGGAAGGAGGCGGAAGGACAGGACGAGGGCATGTACAGGTGCATGCGATCTGCACAGCCACATGCGACACAACACGCATCCCTGACTCCAGGCAGCTCGCGGAGTGTTACGCTGTTTCCAGTGCACAGCGCAGAGAGAAGAGGCTAGCTAAAGTGTGGTTATCTCAGAAGATCGAATACCCCCCTCCCCCTTCCCCTTCCCCCTTTACATCAAGCTAGCAAGCACTATCTAGCTAGCAAGATGTGCGTCAGATAGCTACCTACCGTAGGGCACAAGGGCGAGATCAAGTCGCATCGGGTGGCAGGGCAGCAACAGATGGGAGCTGCCCTCCTCAGCAGCTAGAGAAGGCCTCCCCGCCGCGGGGGTTACGGCAATGGCCTGCAAGTGCATGCACGCATCAATCCAAGGCCCCAATATTTGAGCTACCACCGCATCCATGCATGCACCTACCCCATCACGAAGGGGCCACGAGCTGGCAAACCAGCTAGCGATGCCCCCCGTCTGTCTGGCTGTTAGGCCAAGTGTACTGCTAGCTAGCGAGTTAGCTGTTGGCTTGGTTAGCAGGGCAACCAGCTGGCTAGCTAAACAAACAGCTAGCTAGCTAAACTGACAGCTACCTCATAGGTAAGACTCACAATATAGTACAGAAATCCCCCCTCAGCATCCGTTATAGGGGCACTAAGCACTGCGCGAGTCTTTGCCCCTCCCGCACCCTCCAATATCCTGCAGACAAACCCTAAACCCCAAACTCTAAACCCTATACCCGAACCCTCGCACCTTCTACCCGGCAACAATAGTTGCCCTGGCTGCGAACTCCCAACCGTGGAGACGAGGAAACAACCACACCGGGAAGCAGCATGATAGAGACAGAAAGAAACGCCCACAGGCAGACACACAGGGACGGAGAACAACAGAAGAAGATACGGAGAAAGACAGGGACAAACAGAGGACACACACGCACACACGCACACACACACGCACACACACACACGCACACACACACACGCACACACACACACACAGGGGAACGAAGGGCAAGGAAGACAAAAAGGGAGAAAACAGAAAGACAGACAACAGGAAGAAACAGTTAAAAGGGTGCCAAACACACGTTGCCGTTTGCAGGGCTGTGCGTCTCCTCTCCTCCAATTTTGCTGCGTCTACTTGGCTATCTGCAGCACAGCAACACACGCCATAATAGCAATCCCACCAATGAAAAGGCCCTCTAAACTCTCCCTCAAACAAGCGAACAAACGCGTAAGAAATTCGGTCCCTACGCCCGCTGTTAATCAATGCACGCACGCATCCATGCTTGCACTTGCATGCATCCAAATACATGCAAGCATGCAAACGCGCACGCACATGCGCATGCATGCATGCATGCACGCATCCGTGGACGGGAAGATGGAGACGCACGTTTAAGGGGAACTGGAAGGGGGTTTTGTTTTGGCTGTCTGTACAGCTCGATATGCTTGAACTCTACAAAGCTGTCGCGGTGAAGATCAAGACTTAGAGACAATACAGTGCGGCCTGCAAAGAAATAAATAGTAAAAAAGGTACAATAGCGGCTAGTCTTCATGCATCCATCCATGCATGCATGCGTGCAGGCTGAGTTGTGAGGTGCATGCGCACACACACATTTTGTGGCTGGTTGCAAGTTCAAGTGTATGTAGACATCCTCAGCACTGCAGCCGTTGAATGCAGTACTGCATGCAGGCCAGCAGACACCAACTCGGAGGGGTTAGGGTTTAGGGTTTCCTGTTGGGCTTGCTTAAGTTCAGCAGCAAATGCAGTAGGCAATATATATAACAAGAACAATGCATTCTCCTACCGTCTTTTGCATGCGGAGGGAGAGAAAAACGGAGGAAGTGTTCCTCTTCTTCGCATGTGCCCGATAGGCCAAAGACGTCGGACAGAAGAATCTCTCCTGAGAGGAGAGACACCCCAGCAGCAGCAGCAGCAAACTGCAGCAAACTGCGGCAACTGCAAGATAGCAACTAACTGCTCTGCTGCTGCCGCTACAACAGCAGAGGAGGCAAACAAATGCCTGTGCTGCTGCCATCCAACAACAATACATAAATAAAAAAAAACAACAAAAAAACAGGGTAAAGCCACAAAGAAATGCAGGAAAGAAAACAAAGGCACGAGCACGCTAAGAAATAAACTAAATTGACTTAGCTGAGGAGAGACAATAGAATACGTAGGGAACAACAAAGGAAAAAGAGATTATGGCGATCTAGGTGTATAGAGACAGCAGGATTAAAGAGAGAAAGAGGTATTACGCGCACAAAGAGACAAATGGGGGACGAAAAACAAAGAAAAGTGCAGATACATAACCTTTAACTACAATTGCTACCATAAACCCTAAACCCTAAACCCTTACCGTTGTTACTGAGGAGGCTGAAAGTGTTGAGAGAGGAGGGCAGCGGGTGGTACTTGCAATTGGGGGGACTGTATTTTTCGTGGAGAGAGAGAAGAGCAAGAGCTGCCTGCTCGCGCTCCTGCTGCTGCTGCTGCTGCTGCTCCTGCTCCCGCTTCTGCTGCATCTCCGCGTTCCGTGCTGCATCCATGGGAAAACCCAGAGCTGCCGGAGCGCCGCACCAGCAAGCGCATGCAATCAGCAGCAAGCAGAGAATCCCAAGCCTAAGGCCGCATCCACCGCCCCGGCTGGATAACACAGATCCCAAGGGATCATAATGCTGCTGCTGCCGCCGCCGCCGCCGTTGCGGCTGCGGCTCCCGCGGCAGCCGCCCGCCCCCCAAGGAGCGCATCGTCTTTTGTCTGTTTCCGCCTCCTGCTGCAGCGTACGAGAAGGTAGGAGTTGCGTGATTCTACTGATTGAGGGCTGCTCCACGCAGGACGAAGGGGAGACACGAGGTGTACATCCACCTCATGAGCGCATGCGGCTTGGGGCAGGCGAGCGGCTTATAAAAGGGCCCCGGGAGAGACAAAATTGAGCAGAGGTGCCAATTAGACTCAAATAAAAGAAAGAAGACATCAACTCATCACAAAAATCAGAGCAATAGAGGAGGAGTATCCACCCCAGCCTTATGGAGGAGTTGCAGCGGGGACAGCCAACGGCAAAAAAGAAGAAAGAAGAGTGATATAGACTTCTAATTTAGCTATATAAAGCCCCAACCTTCCCGAAGTCAAACCAACACCATATCCACCATTGCCGTACAACAAACGCATGCATGCATGCGCTCGCCGCTGCCGCCCCCCAGCAGCGCCGCTGCTCCTGCTGCTCTTGCTGTTGCTACTGCGCAGCAGCTCCACTGCATGCAGAAGCTTCTAGTCGTTTAACTCAGACGCCTAGTTCTCCTTAGTGTTTTTATTATTTTTTACGTCCTAAATACGTCTACTGTAGCCCTAAGGAGCTGCAACCGGAGGAGCACCTGTCTTCTCCCTAGGCAGAGATGAAATGAGTGGACCCTACATGCTGTTTGAGAGTTAAAAGAGTTCTTCCAGTATTATTATGTGTCGATGTTACTGTGCTGGCTTTTGGCCTCCTCACGAATTGCTTCTTAATTGACCGATCAGCTAGTACAAGCGACTAAAAACGAGAGCAGCTAGTATGCTGGCCTGTGGGGTTGGCTTGCAGCTTCGTCTCATCCTGCAAGAACTGTTGTTCTTAGCTGAGAACCGTCGTGTGCTGCAGTTGAATCAAAATACTAACCCCAAAGCAGCTAACCCCCTCTCTAGAGGAAAACTGTGCACTTTGGCACTGGGCCTCGTGCTGGTGTGAGGAGGCAGGCATCCTTCCATGCGTTGCAGCAAAGTTTGCTAGAAGTTAGGCAGCAGTGTCTTCCTCATGCAGGCATATCTAAGCTCCCTTTTACAGAAACGCAGTGGACAAATGCAAAACACGTAGTTGGATCATTCATGCCGACCTGTATACCAGCAAGTATAACTACATGTACCCAGCATACATGCAGCAAGGCACACGGGCTGGGCTCGATGACTCCCCGATGAGCTTCATGGCTCCATACACACGGTGGCAAGGAAGGGCCGAGTAGGGAAGACCCCGTTTCTGGTATCGCAGTGTCACCACGGAGGCCTGGAGTACGGAAGTCATGCTGAGGGAGGGGTCAATAGGAAAAGTTTCCTACAAACAACTACGGTGTTGTATCCCCCATTTCAGTGTTTGTATCCCCCATCAGCCTGGGGAGATGCGAAAAGTAGGTGATTTTAGATGGCAGGATCAACATGTGCCGCCTCAAGAATGCACGTATTCTAGCTCCATTGCTCTATGGGTTCTATGTGTTTCTTCATGTCAAATTTCATCCTGTCACCCCGTTCCTATCAAATTTTCTCACCCCAGACATATTCAACATTCATGGGTATTCATGAGGGGTGTAGTTGGAAAAGGATGCCTCAAGCGTTCGTAAATAGACAAACCATATATCTGCGTTTCGTGGCGTTGTTCATGCCACAGGATACGAAAGTGGCATGGTATATGGATACCATCTTTGGATATGACCATTTATGCTAACGCGGTGTTGGGCATTGTAGAGAATACAGGGTTGAAGATTAAAACCTCCAAAGAGCGCGATGCTCTCTACGATCATGTACCTGCCCTTGGTATCGAAATAAAACATCGTAAAGGGCTATGCTGTTTGTCGTCTTCAGACAAGGCCGTGGCACACGATAGGACGAACCTTTATAATTGTGTCTACCAAGGGAAATTGTTACAGACTGGCTGGACTTCTGCAGTTCAGCTTGCTCCGTGTCTTCCAGCTGCCGTGCTCCTATACGACCATAAATACCAATATCTAAGAGTGTGGGCAGTAAATAAAAATATACCTGTCACTAAGTGGCTGGCCTGCGCGCAAGTAGAAGTGCATACAACAATCTCCGGGAAACGTTGCCATACTCGTTGTTACATGCGTCCTGGATCTTCTCCATGAACTATTGCGAGCTGCAGTGAAGGCAGTGTACTTGGGTTAAGACTTCTATTAAACAGCTAAACATACTTCCCTGTATCCAGGGGAACTGGGCACAGCAAGCTAACCTGCTGGAGCTGCGGAAGATGAAGATGCCTTGTATCAGTTGCAACGCACCTTGCTGCGCACCGGATGGTTGGAAATAGCAGAGCATGCGAGGAAAAACATTTCCTTTTGCATGCACATAAAGTGGAGAGAAGTGTTTAAGGCTTGATCCTGCGTGTCTACTGCATACGCATGCGGGGAAATTGCTCATGCGCCACCTTCGGAGAAACTTGAGAACTGCGGACAGACAATACTACACTTGTCCCACACTCCATGTCAAGCGCACTGTGGGAAGAAGTCTTCATTGTAAGAAAAATACAACCGTAGACGTATCATATATCTCACCGTTCCAAATATTTAAAGCAACGGGCTAGAGTCTGTTCACATGGGCAATGATGCAGTGTCACATACGGCCAGGTCTAAAATCATTCGCAAATGCGGGTGTTGTAAATCAGTGCAGAGTTCAAATAAAAACACAGCGAAAAACAAACCATTTTTACCACCGCAACTGGAGGGAAAAGAGTTGTGAGCTTACGAACTGTCGCTCGTTTTGCAGCACAACCACCGTCCGTGGGCCGCTGCTGGCCGTCAGTTGTTGGGCTGTGCTGCCTGCGTTAGCACGTTGGATCGATCTTCCCCCTTGGCCCATAGGGCAATACAAATGCTACAGCAGCAGAGTTATTCGGGGTTTTTAATAGTATGACGGGATTTTTTTAAAAGTTTTCAAAGTTTTATGAGAATCTTTAAATGCACGAGATCATAGACCGCTCCTCCACTTTATAGCATGAGCGGCATATCCTGTTGCACGTTGCGGGTGCCTGTCTGGAGCCTTGTTGAAAGCCCTCATACATCAGACATTTTTGTACATATTTAAAGGCCCACATTCTGCTCTAAGAATAAGTTTTCAAGTAAGCATAAGTGTAATGAGGCACTTACAGAGGCCCCTTCGAAAAGGGAAGCCTTTTCTCCCGCGGCTATGGCCTGTTGCAGCGTAAATGGCAAAAGGGCGAGTATCCTCGTTGGCCGTGCACATTGACACTGTCTTTTGCCACCTTTACAGCAAGCTTGGATCTTATTGTTGTGTGTATGCAAATAGGTTTGCCTTTCCTTGCGTATTGCAGAGACTCAGGCCTCTGGGCCCTACGGCTTGGGGAGGTAACCGCAAGGTAAAGCGGCCTGTAAGGAGCTACCACACGTAAGAACAATGCAGGAAGAATCTACCGAATTTTTAACCTTCACTCAAGGGGATGTTGGAGTTGGCAACGCCTTGCAGAGCGAAGATGTCCTCCAAAAGCCCCAGCACCTCCGACGAGCTCGCCGCCAGAGCTCCGCTTGGCGCTCAGCCTTATGGGTGGCTTTTTCAACTGCACTTGTCTTCCTTATTATGAAGTGCATAATGCAACTGCCCGCAAACAAGACTTCATCCTTCAGGAGATTGGCGGAAGGAGGTGGCGATGAGCACACTCCCTTTAGGCACTCATCTGTAAGGCTATACTGCTCGATTTTTACTTACATTATGTGAATCAGTATTCCTTTTATAAAGGAAATTGAATATTTTCATGCTGTGGCTTTACTGTGTTCCTCCCAGGGATCCGAAGATGACTTCAACACCTGCGGCGGACGTGACGGTCTGCGCCGAAGAAGTCGAGGAGGATCTGATTCCGGATGGAAGAAGTTTTGGAGGAGAAGTTTTGGATGGACTACAGATCGTGAACAGAGGCTTATATCATCTTCTCCTGAGTCAGTTGATGAAGAGAGACCTAGAACATCTTCTCCTGAGTCAGTTGACGAAGAGAGCCTGACATCATCTTCTGAGTCGCTTAATACGATGCCGGGACCAAGTGGCCAACCTACTCGTCGGGTGCGGCACGAATCTCTTGTGTTTGCTGGAATTCCGAATTCTCCACATTATCAAGGTATTGATACGCTTCATAATTTCGGACGGCTCGGCGAAGTAAGTATCGTATGCAACATGTTGTCCAGCGTCAGCAGTCTTATTCGTATGCTACAAGGCAGAATCTGGGTTATCTTGTCTATTAGGGTGGCAACAGAGCCTTCACGGACAGAACGATGTCTTTTTTGCCTTTTCGGTGTATTTCAGAAGAATGAAGACCTTCGGAAAAAGATGAAAAAGTTGCAAAAGTTTGCACAATCTCTCTGCGATGCTCACGAGGGCCTATCAAGCAGTAATACAACAGCTACCCTACGAATCCAATTCCCCTGCTAAATGTACCAAAAAATCCGAATGCGTGTATCCAGTAGACGTTTTTCGTGGTTTGGGCATTGGCTTATGTTTCTTTTGTCAATTCATACAACTTCTACTCCTTTCTCCACCGTCATTTGTGTGACTTCAGCACTGTGCGCATTCTGCAGAGGTCTTCCAGGCAAAACACAATCTCGACAATGGCAACGGCAGCATAGTAATAAGTGTAAAGATTGAAGAAATTGTGAGTATCTTGATTGCCACATCTCTTTGCGTGCTCTTCCCTCGAGGAAGCTTGGGAGCTTTTCCCCGTTCAGGCAGTGTGCAGGTAACCATTAATTGGCAGCGCAAAACGACGAGAGTGTTTGTCTGTTGTTTGTGTTGGTTTGCTCGCAGTCATCAAGTGAATCGGGTTCACCAATAGATCCGTCTGCGACTCTCCACCCCGATTCACTTGGTTTAGATGGTCGTCATGTGAGAGAAGCTGCCCGTTCCCCAGCCTGCAACCCTAAACCCTAAATTCTAAACCCTTGACAACACCTGATCCTGTTTCCAGGCCATACTGTTTCGGGGCATCTATTTTGTTTGTGCGCAGTTCTGCCGTGATGTAGCTTTGATAGTCGAGGAGATGGTCACAGAAGTAATCAGAGAGGCTGAAACGACAGACAGTAGGCGCAGCAGAGCATGCAAAAACTATCATTTCACAGTGCATTTACTGTCTGTCCTAGTTGAATGTGTACGATGTAGCGTAGAGCATTCATTGAATACAGCATGTCACTTTACATTTTATAAATAAAAGCATGGAGGGAATCGCGGTCTTGCATCTATTTGTGGTGTGCTTGCAGTGGCAGAGGGCCTAACAACTCTCCTCTTCTATAACGTGAGAAAACCATCAAGAGCGCCCAACAGAGGCAAGGTTTTGCTTGAGGTCTTCGGTAAGTTTCAAGGGGAAGAATTGTCTTCTCCTAAGGCATATATATATATATTATATATAT